AAATATGCTCCTTGCGATAACTGTAGTACTGCTTCTTTTAAATGTAGAATAATTTCATTTATCGGAGTTAACAAAGGATGTAATGTGCCTTTACGTACATGTGTAAGATATTCTAAAATATCTTTTGCATCCCTAATTAAATTGTTTATCATTGCTATAATTATAGTGAAATGTTCGTCTATCTCCTCGCGCGTAGTGTATTCCCTAATGTAGTGGTTCATTAATTTACCGTTATAATCCAATATATTTTCTAATTTATTTAAATGAACTATAGTGGTGTTCAAGACTTTGATTTGATTTTTCGCGGCGTGTTCCAATGTTTGTTGGTTATCGTGTAATAACTGTATCTGTTCATCTATTAATTTCCTATCGTTCGCATTCATAATTCCGAATAAGGTTTTCGTTATTGAACCTATTCCATCGATAAGACATCTACGTTTATTTGTTGATTGACTTCTGTTTTATGTTTCTCTGGCAAGCGATATGGTCTTACGTTCACCGGTGCGGTATCGGAACGTGTGTTTATTTCATGTTCTACCGTCGCGGTGCATGTCAGTGGTTCTCCCTCTAAGTAGAATACGTCACTGAATTCCTCGCAGATTTTAAAGAGTGTCTGTCTCTCTTCTGCATTTAGATGTTGTGTTCGCAATAATTGTCAAATTCGCTGCTTACGGGATATAGTGTTTTTTATTTTTCTTCCCGTTTCTATAATGTTTATTTCTTTTATGTTTTCCTTCATATCCTCCAGTGTGACTATGGGGATTGCCATTTCAATGGTGTTGTCCGTTGTGTTTATTATACTTACAGGACATGCAAAATTGTTTGGTTCCACCAGGCAGCTTCCAATATACAGGGTGACCCATTTTAACTTAGGCAGCCAAATAACTCGAAAAATAAGCACACTACGAAAAAATGGTTAGAATCAAAATTTCGTCATTTCGAGGGGGACGTACAATGACGTTAAAATCAGCCCCCCCACCCCTCCCCCTGGGCGGTGAGGGGGGGGCAAGTTTGAAATCTTAAATGGAACCCCCTATTTTTCATTGCATATTCTTGTAGCTTATCTCGAGAGCTTTCCAAAACACTATAATTAAGTATCTTTTTATTAAGTACTTTTTGAGTTATAAGGCTTGAAATAATTTCTTAATTTTACATAAACCATAAAATATCTAGTAAACCATTCATTTTTCGATTATCTTACCTTTATACTTTTATGTACAAAATAATGAGAGGAATCAATTGGTGTAAAGAAAACATACAGTTGGTTTTAAGAAAAAATATGGAATTGTTAATTGCAAATTACATATTTTTTCTTAGAAACAACTATGTGTTTTCTTTACACCAATTGATTCCTCTCATTATTTTGTACATAAAAGTATAAAGGTAAGATAATCGAAAAATGAATGGTTTACTAGATATTTTATGGTTTATGTAAAATTAAGAAATTATTTCAAGCCTTATAACTCAAAAAGTACTTAATAAAAAGATACTTAATTATAGTGTTTTGGAAAGCTCTCGAGATAAGCTACAAGAATATGCAATGAAAAATAGGGGGTTCCATTTAAGATTTCAAACATGCCTCCCCTCACCGCCCAGGGGGAGGGGTGGGGGGGGCTGATTTTAACGTCATTGTACGTCCCCCTCGAAATGACGAAATTTTGATTCTAACCATTTTTTCGTAGTGTGCTTATTTTTCGAGTTATTTGGCTGCCTAAGTTAAAATGGGTCACCCTGTATACTCCTGGGGGCTGTTTCGCTTGTTCGGACTATTCCTATATGATTCTGATTTACAGCTGCTTTAATAATTGTCTCGCTGGTTTCAGAATTATTTTTCTGCATGGATGTAATTTTAATATACTATCCTTTATTTTTATTTGATTTCGTTTGTAATTGCAGATTGCTGTTTGTTTTTTAAGAAAATCTATTCCTAAAATTCCTTCATGCTCTATTGTTATGTCATCCTTTACGACATAAAATACACGCTTGATGGCACGTTTGTTGAGTGTAATTGTCGCGTACATTTTCCCTAGTGTGTATAATTTATGTCCACTGATTCCTGTGAGTGCAATTTTCTTTTCGTATACTGGTGTATCGTCTTTTAAATTTTTCAATTTAATTAGAGAAATTGTTGATCCGGAATCGTACAGCATATTTATCGTCTCGCCTTTTACTTCATGGATTGGTAGTGATACCTGCAGTAGCTCGTCTTTGGCTGTATGCGTGTTTTTAACATGCATTATACGATACTCTGAGGCAGGTCGCGGTTGTTTCTTTCTCGCTTCCTCCTCTTCCTCTTCGCTATTGCTTGAAGAGTCAGTGCTCTTTTTTCTCTGTCTATGCAGAGTCTTTTGCTCACGCACGTTTTCTTTATGCTTTATTTTATTAACTGGCTTGGAATTACGATTATTAGTGCTATTTATTTAAGGATGTCCGTTCAAATTCCAGCATTCCTCACGGGTGTGTCCTGTCTTTTTACAGTATTTGCAAAATTTATTTAGAGTATTTATTCGCGGATTTTTTTCTGGTTTTGGCAATGTAAATTTACTATTTCGACAGTCGCGTCCGTAATGTCCATTTTTTCCGCATTTATAGCATTGGATATTCGGATCTCTATCCGCTCGCGTTGGTTTTTTATCATTTTTATTTTTATTTGCGAAACCATAAGCTCGGGTGGCTATCGGTCCGATAAGTTTTTCTTCCATGCTCGCGCCGTTTATCGCTTCTTGGAGCGTGATATATCTTTGTGAACGTACGAGAGTCTTTAATTCTTCTCGCAATCCGATTTGATAATTTATCAAGGCTTGCTTTTTAATTGTTTCCTGGATTGCCCTTTTGAAGGTAGAGGGTCGTTCCTCTCCTTCCACCATGGATTCGTATAACTTCATGGCTATTAAATCGACACGTTGTCCGAAAGCGTAAGCACTTTCACTTGATTTTTGTTTCAAGCAGTTGAATTCTATCTGTAAGTGCGTCGTGCTTTGTTTTGTTTGATAGTAAGTTTCAAGTTGTTGCTTCAATTCTTCGAAAGTTTGTACACTCGGCAACCAAAATGCCTTAACACCTGAATTTGCCCGTGTCAAGGCATATTCGGACGACGTACTTCCACTCTATTATAATTGCGCGTCATGACTATTTAATATCTGGCAGCGATGTTTCAAAGTGATTTTACGCAAAATTCAAACTAATGTGTGACATATCTGAAAAAGTGGTTTGACATATGTCAAATATGTCAAAATGTATATGATTAGAAAATAAGTAATGCACATTAATTATATAAAATATTAAAATAAAATATATTAAATATATAAAAAATATAAAGCGTGATATGAATTACACATATTAAGTTTTTATATTTGAACAGCAGTCGCTCATCCTCAAATCTGCGACACAAAATAAAAAACTGGCATTAATATGTGTAATTCATATCACGCTATATTTTTTATATATTTAATGTATTTTATTTTAATATTTTATATAATTAATGTGCATTACTTATTTTCTAATCATATACATTTTGACATATTTGACATATAACCACTTTTTCAGATATGTCACACATTAGTTTGAATTTTGCGTAAAATCGCTTTGAAACATCGTTGCCAGATATTAAATAGTCATGATGCGCAATTATAATAGGGTGGAAGTACGTCGTCCGAATATGCCTTAACACGGGCAAATTCAGGTGTTAAGGCATTTTGGTTGCCGAGTGTACGTCTCGCGTCTCGAAATCCTGCATAGCCTTTCCTTTTAGTTTAGTATACAAAATTGCTTGCATCAATGACTCTTCATCCGCGGGATTAAAGTCGGTGCTGATACTTTATTAAACATTATAGGAAAAAATAGTTCAGGACTTTTCAACTCGATTTTTAGTCAAAAATAACATTATGTACTTATTGGACGCTTTTTAAGATACATCTTATCAGAGTTGGAAGTGACGCGTTACTTGTAACGTCGTTACCGTTGCCGTTACTTTTTTTCGGATCGTTATTTTTTTCTGTCTATAATGGTAACGTAACAGTAACGTCGTTACATTTTTACAGTAATGGTAACGAATTTAACCGTTACTTTTATCGTTATTTTAATTTTGTAATCCTGGATAGTATCCTCTTAATAATTGAAAAATTTATTCCTATTACAAAACAATTTGCAAATATTTTGAAAAATTATATACATGCATGATGTTTTTTTTCTGTATTCATAAATCTAAAATTTCTAAATTACAATAAATGAAAAATTGAATATGAAGACCATCAATAATGGAATAATTTATAATTATCGAATATATAAAAGTAATAATAATATTTTAAAATCAATTATAATAAATATTATAAAATATTAATTATATTTTAAAATAAATTAATTTAATTTTTATATTATACAAAATAACGAAAAAGTAACGTTACTTTCTTAGTAACGGTAACGAGTTACTTATCAAAATTAGTAATGAGTAACGGTAACGAGTTACTTATCAAAATTAGTAACGAGTAACGGTAACGAGTTACTTATCAAAATTAGTAACGAATAACGGTAACGAGATTTTTATTAAAGTTGTCGTTTTTATAAAGATAATATAGCATAGAGATTTTAATTTTAAAAGAGCGTATGTATTATTATATTATCTTAGAAATAAATTAAATTGTTGGATATATGTAAAAATTTCTTTTGTGACTACAATTTCTTTTTATGTTATGAGGTTGGTCACAATGTCTAGCTGGTGCTGCCGTTACGCTTACCGCGCGTCTCTTACATTTTTTTTTGTCTCTTCCCGTGCACCGACGTGTGCAAACGTGTGCTTGTCGCTTCCGAATCAAAAGTCTAACATAAAAACCAAAGAGTTACAAAGACTAAAGTTTACATAACACTAATTATAAGTTCAAATAAGTTTAACAATAAAGTCTGCATTCTCAGAGGAGTGTGTTAAATTTAATCTTATTTTTCACGATAACCACGACCACGTGCTCTAACAGGTTATGGGCCCAGACCTCGTGTAAGAAAGAAAGATGGTAGATTCTCGCTTTTCGATTGTAAAGCTGAATAACGGAAACTATCAGAGCTGGAAATATAAAGTCGAGCTACTGCTAATAAAGGACGAGTTATGGCATACAGTAAACGAAATAAGACCAGATAATCCTGATGAGAAGTGGTTGAAGGCGGATAGACAAGCAAAAACTACAATAGGCTTGTTGGTGGAAGACGACCAGTTGCGGCATATAAGGGACGCCATATCCGCGCGGGAAGCGTGGCACGCGTTAAAATCTTATCATCAGAAGGCATCACTCACGAATCACGAAGTGTATTTATTAAAGAGATTATGCAATATGAGACTTGAGGAAAGTGGTGACATGGAGACACACATAAATCGAACATTGAATATGGTGGACGAGTTAACCGCACTAGGTGAGGTATTAAAAGAAAAATTAATAATCGCTATGCTTTTAGCCAGTCTCCTCGAATCGTATAGTACGCTCATCACAGCGCTAGAGACCAGAGCGGAGGATGAACTAATCTTGCAATTGGTAAAAGGAAAACTCATAGATGAAGATAGAAGACGCAAGGACATGAGAAGTTATGAAAATAAAGGCGAGGATACAACTCTCAAAATATCTCACAAACATGCTACGCAGCAGAAGCAAGTACAGAAATCTAAAGAGCTTAGCTGTTTCTTTTGCAAGAAACAAGGTCTAAAAGGGGATGAAGAAGGATTGTACAAAGTATAAACGATGGAAGGAAAATAAGGAGAAAGCAAATACAGTCTCAAATAAAAATCAAGGATTAGATTTTTGTTTCGGTGTAACTGATGACAATAAAGAGACGAACTATCAAGGATGTAGATTCCGGTGCAACCGGAAGTCATATGACAAATAATAAAGGCTTCTTCAAAGATATTTACAGCTGTGGTACTGATGAAGTAAAAGTAGCAGATGTTAGATATCTTAAGGTTCATGGTATTGGTGAAGGAAGCATTATTTGTCAAAATGACAAAGGAAAACACATCGGCGTTAATGTAAAAGATGTATTGTTCGTACCAGATCTAAGAGAAAGATTATTATCAGTTAAGAAGTTAACCGAAAAAGGATTGAAAGTCATCTTTGAAGATACAACATGCAATATTATGTATGAAGGCCAAAGTGTTACAGTAGGTGATATTTACGGAAATTTGTACAAGCTAAAGAATGACAATAAGATTCTCTCCGTTGCGCAAGTGTATGATAAAAATTGTCAGCATCAATGACACAGAAGACTAGGACACAGAGATCCCAAAGCAATTAAAAACATGATAAATAAAGGAGAAATTAAAGGCGTACATATGAAGGATTGCGGTATCAGAGAAGTATGTGAAACATGCCTCAAAGAAAAAATGACCAGGAATTCCTTCCTCAAGTCTTCACAGCATCGATCAGAAGAAATTTTAGATATCGTTCATACAGATGTTTGTGGTCCTATGCAAACAATGACACCAGGTAAGAAATGATACATATTAACCATGATTGATGATTACAGTCGATACACGATGGTATACCTCATTGGACATAAATCGGAGGTGCCGAATAAAATTCGAGAGTATATAAAGGCAGTTAAAACGAAGTTTAAGGCCGTACCAAAAATCATTCACTCAAATAGAGGAAAGGAGTATGTTAATCAAAAACTTCAAGAGTTGTTCAAGGAAGAGGGTATCAAAGCACAATATACAGTAACCTATACTTCGGAACAAAATGGAGTCGCAGAAAGGAAAAATATGTCACTGGTTGAAATGGCGTGATGTCTACTCATTGAAGCAAAATTACCCAATAAGTATGTGGGGTGAGGCTATCAATACAGCAAATTATCTACAGAATCGTATTATAACTAAGGCAACAGGTACTACACCATTAAAGAGATGGTGTAATGAGACACCGAATTTAGAGGACATGATTGTATTTGGATCGAAAGTATATGTACACGTCTCAAAGAAATTAAGAAAGAAGTGGGACAATAAAGCTAAAGAATTAAGATTTATGTGTATTGCCGATGACGCAAAAGGTTTTCGTCTATTAGACCCAAATACGGACAAGATAAGTATAAATAGAGATGTAAAGTTCTTGGAAAAGTCTTATTATGATAATCACAAAATTTCAGAACGTAGAGATTCTCAGGAAAATCAGTCGGAATGCATAGTAGCATTTGAGATTAAAGAAATGCCAAAGCAGTACGACGTAAATAATTCAGAAATCATGATAGAAGAGGACTGTGAACATGAAGAGGATGATGAATCCATAAATTACCAAGAAGATACTTTTTTAAAAAGAGGTCCAGGTCGACCAAGGATCGTTAGAACAGGAATAAGAGGACGACCAAAGAAGAGTTATAATATGATTGTACCCGAGGAATCAGGAATGCTTGCAGAAGTCTCTATAAAGGAGGCAATAAAAGGACCGAACGTCGATGAATGGTATTCTGCCATGGCAACAGAGTTAAGGTCTATTATAGAAAATGATGCCTGGAGGCTAGTTGACAGACCAAAAGACAAAAATATTGTTAGAAGTCGTATGGTTTTAACCAATAAATGTCAACCGGATGGACACATAGAAAAGCGTAAAGCAAGAATCGTTGCACGTGGATTTAGCCAAAAGCCCGGGATGAACTTCAATGAAACCTTTGCACCTGTCGCAAGACTAAGTTCTGTAAGATTTTTAGTAGCCATTGCAGCGCATTATAAAATGCATATTCATCAATGTGATGTTACAACAGTAAATAGCCCCATCACGGAAGATATATATATGGATGTTCCAGAGCGATTAGATAATATCTTACAAAAATTAATCGACAACGAAGAAAAAGAAAGTCAAATCAAGAGGAAGGATCTTAATATGCTAAAAGAATTAAAGTCAGGAGATAAAGTATGTAAACTCCGAAAAGCCTGATATGATTTAAAGCAAGCCGGTTGTGAATGGCATACAAAATTTGACAAGGAGCTAAGAAAATATGGAGCACTACCATCATCAAGTGCAGACCCCTGTGTATATTATAAAGGTCAAGGGGAAGACATTATTTTGATACTTACATATGTCGATGATATAATAGTAGCATCAAAGGATTTAAGTAAAATACAAGACTTCAAGGATCATCTAAGTCAAGTACTTAAAATCAAAGATTTAGGAGAAATAAAGTATTGTTTAGGAATTGAATTTTCTAGAAAGAATAACAGTATTATTCTAAACCAAAAAGGATATATTAAAGACTTAATTATTAGATTCAACATGAAGGATGCAAACCCAACAAAAACTCCGATGGAGGCGAGTTTGAAATTATCCAAACAAGAAAATCATCCAGAGGCTTTGGATATCCCTTATCGTGAGTTAATTGGATGTTTAATGTATTTGGCAGTGAGCACACGGCCAGATATTGCCTATGCGGTTACTTAAGTCAGTTCAACAGTTATTATGAACCAGAACATTGGACTGCAGCAAAGAGAGTCTTACGATATCTCAAAGGAACATTGGAGATGATTTACAGCCCAAGTCAAGAAAGCCTTAAGGGCTATGTGGATTCTGATTGGGGTAACTGTATAAATGATCGATGTTCATATACAGGATTTGTTTTCTTTCTCAGTCATGCACCAATTACATGGGAGTCGAGAAAACAGCGGACTGTTGCACTTTCTTCCACTGAAGCAGAGTATATGAGTCTAACAGAAGCTACCAAGGAGGCTATCTACCTACAGAGATTTTTGACAGAGATCGGATTAAAGAAGCTCTCTACGCTAACAATCTACAATGATAGTGCCAGCGCACAAGAGCTAGCAAAGAATCCAGTTTATCATGGGGGGACAAAACGTATTGATGTCAGGTATCATTTTGTGCGCGAGACTTTAAAGAATCATCTAATAAGATTGGACTATTTGTGTAGCGCAGAAATGATTGCTGATATATTTACTAAGGCACTACCCTTAAATAAGCATTATAAATGCATAGTCATTAGGTTCATTTTCATAAATTTGTGTCTCCTTTGTCTTTTATTTCTTTTTAAATTTTTAAGGGGAAGTGTTGGATATATGTAAAAATTTCTTTTGTGACCACAGTTTCTTTTTATGTTATGAGGTTGGTCACAATGTCTAGCTGGCGCTGCCGTTACGCTTACCGCGCGTCTCTTACATTTTTTTTTGTCTCTTCCCGTGCACCGACGTGTGCAGACGTGTGCTTGTCGCTTCCGTATCAAAAGTCTAACATAAAAACCAAAGAGTTACCAAAGACTAAAGTTCACATAACACTAACTATAAGTTCAAATAAGTTTAACAATAAAGTCTGCATTTCTCAGAGGAGTGTGTTAAATTTAATCTTATTTTTCACGATAACCACGACCACGTGCTCTAACATAAATCAATTTAAAATCAAGCATCTAACAAACAAATTTTTTTATTAAATGTTAATGTGATTAAATCTAATTAAATTAAGTTTATATTTATTTATTTAATACTGCATTTATACTGAAATATATAACGAAAAATTATGATTCTTTTTCCTTAAAGCTAGATTTTTTAAAATAAAAGATTATGTTATATTTTTTATATACTGTCTTTCTTTTTATACTAGTAGTAATAATATCACCAATTAAAGAAAATTTATAACTAGCAGTAATAATAGCAGTAATTAAAGAAAATTTATAACTATAACTATGTAATATAAAATCTTGTAGGAAATATATGACGTGTCAAAAATGATGAATTTGAATAAATTTGAAAATTGATTATCTAAAAAACGATATTTTCTTTGTACATTTTTTACTGGTATAATACCTTATCATTTATGTAACTCTTATAAAATAATAACATTATATAACACATATTATACATATATTAGACATATAATGCTGCAAAATTCATTTCTGTTGAATTCTTTCCTCGAATCTCATCTTTTATTCTACTTATATAATAAAAAAAATATTGATTTTATAAACATTTAATATGAAAAAAGTCTATAATATCTGGCTAATAAATTAAAATATAAAAAGGACAATGCATTGTTTGCTTATAAGAAAGAAAATAATATTCTAAATAATATTACAATTTTTAAAAATAATATTACAATCTTTTTATTTCTCTAATGTTTTCAAAAATAATTATTTTATAATCAAATATACAGTGCAGGGATTAAAATTGATCAAATATTTATACTTTCTTGTTTATTGATTAATAAGACGCTTATTAAATCTGACTTCGCATTGTCTTCATTTTCAACTTCGTTTTAATGACATGTTTATTATGATCAGGTATCAAACGTTGTTTCTTCTCGGTAGTTTCTTAGAAAGTCAAGATCAAGTTGATACAAATATTTATTATCAATATTAATAATATATGATAACAACGAACTTACACAAATTACACTTAATTATTATCGAAAAAATTAATTTTTTACCGGCAGACAATTATATATGAGATTTGAGCTATTATAAAAACAAAATACCTAATATCACGATCGAGAGCTTCTTGCAATCCTTTCATTCCGTGTTCATATATTGGCTTGTTATTTATTTCGATAACTGTATCTTGTTGGTGTTGCCATTCACAAATGGAACATCGTCTTAAAATGCTGTATGATATATTTTTTATTAAATTATTATTTATTAAATTATTAATATTACATGCGCAATTTATTTCTCCCTTTGATGGTTGGAAAATTTTGGCTAAAATTAATGGCCTTTCTTTGTATACTTTTTGTTGTGTGCCATAGACACTGTTGTTATAAA